TGGAGCAGAAAGCAGAGTAGCAAATTGGGCAGGGGAAAAGAGAAAACATGAATGTTAATGCAAAAACCAAACACCAGGCACAACAGACACAACCACATGAAACCCACTGGGAGGCAGGACCTGAGAGAGACAGACAGAGAGAGAAGACCGGGATGCAATAGGGGCTGGTGCTGAGGGGGACCTGAGACCCCTGCCCATGTTCCCCCATCTCCACCCAGTGCGCTCCTTTGGGGTGATGGGGCTTGGGCCAGGTGAAGGACCTCGAGGGCCTACTCTTCCTGGAGGATGGGACACTGCACACAGACCAGCTGAGGGAGAGACAGACACACACACACACACAGTCCTGCTGGGTCATGGTGCCCGCCGGGCAATTGCTCCTGGCCAAGGGTGCAACGAGCTTCTCACGGCTCTGAGCAGCACAGCTCACAGCTCAAAGGTGAGCCTCCAGCCGGTCTGCTTCCAGGTCCCAGGCGCACTGGCTGAGGAAGTTTGCCTGTGTCCTTGGGACCTAATCAATGTTCCTCCCTCCTCTCCACCTCAAGCAGGGCAGGACAGGTCCATGCCTTGGGTTGGCGGGGGACAGGACCACGAAGGATCATGGTCTTACTTCACATCCTGGCTGATCTGCCGCTCCAGGCGCTGGCGCCTCTCCTCCAGCTGCTCGATGGGGCTGTCCTCGGGGAATTCATAGGGGGCACTGCGCATCTCGCTCTCTGCCAGAGAGCGGCAGAACAGCTCCTGGGAACAAAGCAGCACAGGGCGAGCCCGTGAAGATCAGCCCCTGGCTCAGCCCTCCTGTTGTGCCCTCGGCACTGCCTGGGACGAGCAGCCCTGGCCTCTGAGAAGCTCTCCAAGACAACATGGGTTCTGCAGGACCCCCACGAGCATGAGGAAGCTGTACCTACTACAGGGAGAAGGCGACAGAGAAGGGCATCAGGCTCTGGAGGGCTGCACCCAAGGGCAGCAGTGCAGACCTACTCAATGGCACCAGCGACCTGAGACTGCTGATGGGCAGTCCTCAACCTAGATCCCCACAACGGAGAAGCTGCCCCTTGCTGGCAGCCACATGGGAGGCTTGTTAAAAGCAGGGAGGAGACAGAGTGCTTCTGCCCAGAGACCTGCACTCATTAAAATGCCAAAGCAGAGGCTCTGGGGCTGCCAGGGTAGCTCTCAGCACGAATGCTCCTCTGCTGGGCTGGTGCTCTGCCTGCCTCCCTGCTTCAAGGGCTCCTGACAAAAGCACTGATCCCTGCCTGAGCAGATAATGATAAATTTGCCTTCGGGGGGCAGAGGATTTCACCGGTCGATGGCTGTTTGCATCCTGGCTGCCAGGCACGTGTCCACACAGAGGCCAGTCAGCAGGTGCCCTGCCAAGCACAGGCATGGGAGAGGGGGAGCAGGGTCAGCTGGCTGGAGGGAGGCTGGGGAAAGGCCAGGCCAGCTCTGCTCTGCCAGGATTCCCCCTGCTGAGCGGAAATGCCGTTCAATTATTGGAGCCAGCAGCTGCTGGAGGAGACACCCAGCTATCTATACGCAGGGTGCCTGTCAGGGATGGTGGCAGGATCTCCAGCTGGTGTAAACGGCTGTCGCCCCTTGGACTTCAACAGGGCTGAGCCATTTATACCAGCTGAGGGTCTGGCCCAACACTGCCACGAGGCTGGCAGCGTTGGGCCCACTGGGACCATCCCAACAGGAGGAACCTGCCCTCCAGCAGCTAAGACCTGGCAAACTCACACCACAGGGGAGAACGAGGCCAAGGGAAAGTGGGAACTGAGGGCACCCACATCTGCTGCAGGGCAGGGAAGGGAGAGCACACAAGTAAGTGGATTCTGCAGCTCTGAGCCTGGCGAGATGCACATGCTCCTGCATGGAGCCCAGCAGAGACAACGGGCCCGAGGCTCTTGGCACATAGACAGCAGAGCGGAGGCCATCCATGGGCAGAATCAGAATTGTGCTGGTCTTGGCCAGGCATCAGTGAGTGTAGCAGTGCATGGCTGGCAGGAGGAGGGAGGGAGAGAGGGAAGGCCTGGGGGAAGCAGAAAGAGGAGCAGACTGGACAGCAGGATGCACCGGGAACGGATCAATACCTACCTCAGCAATCTCCTTGTACTTGCCATCCATGGAGGTGCGCAGATCAACAGGGTAGTGCTTCAGGCAGTGAGGAGTCCCTGGCAGGGAGCGTGCAGACTGCAGGGTGCGGGAGCCTGTCCCACTACGGACCTCTGTGGAAACACAGGCAGAAAGGCTCAACCAGCAGACAGGCTGAGTAGGTGTGCCCAGGCTGCCACGGGGCAGGGAACACAGGCCCCTCCCAGAGAGCCACGGTCAGCAAAACACAGCCTAGACTCCTCGAGATCCCTCTGCCGGCTACAATGGAAAGGTGATGGCTAATAGATCTAGGCTGGGGCTCCATGCTCATCCCCACAGCCTCCAGGCATCTCCCACATGCAGCCAATAGCAACGGCAAAGCCCCTACTGGACATACTTTGGCTTTTCTCCCTCTCTGGCAGGTGAGTTTGCTTCTACTTCTGTTGTGGGAGGAGCAGGGAGGAAGCACATAGACAGGAGTGTCTGTAACGATGTAATAGGCTGCTCCTCTGCAAGTTTCACCCTTGGATCTCCAGAGTGCGTCACAGCTATTACACCTTGGTGGGCACGTGAGTGATAAGGAAGTATCCGCCCTTATGTTACAGCTGGGGAAACTGAGGCATGACATGAGGAAGTGATTCACTCAAGGTCGCACAGCGAGTCAGTGAGAGCTACAGCTAGGGCCCTGCAGCCCTGACTCTCGGCCCCTGCTCCAGCTTCTGTTGGCAGGCAGCAGCTCAAGACATCTAGAGCTCCCAAGCCAAAATCCAAGCAAGCTCCAAAGCAAGCACAAAGCGTCCCTCCCACCCCACGAAAGCAGACACTGGTCCCTGCTTTATCACCAGAAGATCTAGTGCCTTTCCCTGGAGTCATTCTTTTCTCTAAGCAGTAAACAGCAGAAAGGTTTCCAGTGGCACTGGATACCTCAGCGGCTCAGCAGTACCCAGATACCACAGCAATAGATGCTACGTACAAATCTGAGACATTGGGGGTAACAGGAGAAGGTGACTCTCTCACTGCTAGGCGGCTGCGGCAAATCCAGTCTGGATGGGCGGTAATAGGAAGATGTCACCATGTCAGACCTGGGGTCGCAGCCAGCACAGAACTAAGCAGCAGGTCTTAGCCCAGATCCTGGAGAAAACAGACCCTGGGAGCCCATAAATAAGCACCAATTGGCTTCTTCTTTGACAAGAGTTATTTATAGGCCACTCTAGTGCTGTGCACTGCGAGCTCCACACATCTAGAGACTCATTCATTTAGCCTTCTGTAAGACAGCGAAGCATTGTCTGCTGTTATTAGGTGGGGAAACTGAGGCACGAAAGGCCCCATTTCTAAGGGTCCAGCTTACACTGAAGTACCTAGATAAAGCCTAGCTTTTCCAAAGGGCTCAGCACCTGTTAAACACCCAGCAGACGGAGCTACTATGCAGCAGCAGCAGAAGGAAAACCCCCTTTGGAAAACCTGGCTTGAGAAAGGAAGTGATTTCCCCACAGGGACACAGAGAACCTCTGGAAGAAGCAGGACGAGCCAATTCTCAGCCAAGCGCATTACCCACAGCAGCACCCGACTTCTCCCAGAGGCTAAGACGTGAATGGTGCTGGAGGCCAAGTTTTACTCAGCCCTAGAGGCAGCAGCCAGAAGAAAGCAGACCCAGAATCACAGAGAAACTACAGCATGTTTTAATGGGTGACCTGGCTTTTGATACTGTGGTCTTGGTCCTTTGATGTGGGCAGGAGTTCCCTCCCTGCCTCCTGGCCACCCCCAGCTCCTACGCTAAAACAGCTCTTACGCAGAACGAGTCCCATTCTTCCCCCATGCTTAAACCTCCGGTGCTGCATTTATCAGCACTGCTGCCAGGCTGCAGGATGCTGTAGTCGATGGGCTAGCAGCCTGATGGGCTGGATCAGGCCCTGATCTGTGGTGTCCTGGATGCTCAGTGCAGCATGGTTACAAGGGCAGGGGCAGGTGATTGCTGGCATACTTGCAAGACTGGGGCCAAGAGGAACTGCCCTGCCTTCAGCCTACTGGGAGGAAGAGTTTATTACCTCTCGCTACTGTGGCACTGCAATCTTCTGACTGCTGCAGCAGACATACCATCCTCCCTGCTGACCACTACAAGCTGCAGGTGCGTTTTTAAGGAGAAGAGGCCAGTTCCTACCCACTCCTCGGCCTCTCTCCTACCTGCCCCTGCTTGCAACTTTCCTGAAACGCGGCGTGCCAGTGGTCCCAATTCTCTTACTGCCCCTTGAGCTCTGAACAGCAGCCTTGAAACTGATGCCGTTTGGGGCGTTTCACCCTCGGGCTGCCCTGAGACTAAGCTTGAAGCCGGGGCAACGGTGCTGGCGGGGACCCCGCGCCCAAATTCCCATCGGCCAGGTTTGTTCTACAGCCCGCGACTGCCACAGGCAATTTTAAATTCCTCAGATTTCTCCCGGAAAGTTAGACTCGGCCACCACGGTGTAGGTGAATTTGGTCTCAGACACCCCTGCGGAGCATCTGCAAGGGCACTGAAGGTGCCAAACAGAGGGGCTAGCTGGCGAGGGGTTAAAAAAGCCATCGCTACTCAATCCACAGGGAGGTGCAAGGAGAGCCCTTTCCGCTGGGAAGTGCTGAACATGCCGCTGATGAGGAGCTGCCCCAGAGGTGGCTGCATTGCAGTGGTGGGTAAAGCAACTTGCCTGAAAGGAAAAGGACTCGGGGAAGGGGGAGCTGCCGTTATCAGCACCCTGCCGGGCAGGCAGCAGCTCCTTTGGGACTGGTTTAGCCCGTCTGCTCCCCAGGGTGGGACACCTCTCAGCCTCCGAAACAGCCAAATTTGGAGCTGATGTAGCAAGCCTGGGTGGGAAGGGGCTGGCTTAAATCTCTGCCCAGTTACTCACATCCTGAGGTCACCAGGTGCTGGTCTGGATATAGGCCACATCCCTGGGGAAGGCTGCGGCTCCGCTCAGCCCTCAAATCGGTTAACCCTTCCGTACCTGCCTCCCTCGGCCCGGCTCTCACCTGCGCGCCCAGCGACACATCCAACGGTGCCCGAGCCCCCGCCTGAAAGGAAAAGCTGCGTGCTAAGCTGCTAATGACCCTCACGTGTCTCCCTAATGGGCTCGCATACACAGTGCACGCCATTCATTAGGCAGAGCGGCAGGGCTGCTGCTGCGCGGTCCTGCCCCGCAGCCCCGGCTCCGCGCTGCCACCCCCGCGGCTGCCGCGCCGGGCGCA